GCTCTGTCTCTCTCTGCCCCTCCCCCGTTCATGCTCTGTATCTCTCTGTTCCAAAAATAAATAAACGTTGAAAAAAAAAAATTAAAAAAAAAAAATGTCTACATTTAGTGTTATATTATTCTTACGTTAAATACCTACGTTAATTACGTGATACATAAAGGTCATTAACATATTAATTCTGTGATACCTGCACGAAACTGTCCCACATATTTACTGAACACCTACTGTGCGCTGAGCCCACTCTGTGCTAGCAGAGTTGTGTTGCTCAGGCACAAGCATTGACTCTGAACCCTGCTGCACCGTGACTGCTGGGCCAGCCGGAGGCTACTTTTTTTTTGGTTTTAATTATTATTATTATTACTTAGATGTTTACTTATTTTTGAGAGAGAGAGAGAACAGAGCACGAGCAGGGGAGGGGCAGAGAGAGACGGAGAGACAGGATCCGTAGCAGGCTCCGGGCTCCGAGCTGTCAGCACATAGCCCGACGTGGGGCTCGAACCCACGAACTGAGAGCTCATGACCTGATCCGAGGTCGAACGCTTAACCGATTGAGCCACCCAGGCGTGCCCCCCCGCCTTTTAAAAAATGTTATTTATTTTATGTTAAATGTTTATTTATTTTTGAGAGAGAGAGACAGAGTGCAGCAGGGGAGGGGCAGAGAGAGAGGGAGCCAGCCGGAGGCTTCTGGAGGCCGGGCCCCCGATGCTGCTGTGGGCAACAGGAGGCTACCGGAGGCCAGGTCCGGGGGCGGAGCGGCGGGCACCCCCTTATCTCTGCCACTTCCGCTCCAGGTGTTCCTGACCTCGCCCACCGAGGTGGCCAAGGTCCGCCTGCAGACGCAGACGCAGCAGCGGCGCCCCTCGGCCTCGTGGCCCTCGGCCGTGCCCCCCGTGTGTCCCGCGCCCCCCGCGAGTTCGGGCCCTGGGCCCAAGTACCGAGGACCTCTGCACTGCCTGGCTACGGTGGCCCGTGAGGAGGGGCTGCGGGGCCTCTACAAGGGCAGCTCGGCCCTGCTCTTCAGGGACGGCCACTCCTTCGCCACCTACTTCCTGTCCTACACCATCCTCTGCGAGCAGCTCACCCCCACGGGCCGCAGCCAGCCAGGTGAGGGGGGGCAGGGGCCTGGGAGGTGGCAACTGAGGCCGGGAGAGGAGGCGTGGACGAGGTCGTGCCAAACGGGGCGCCACGGTGCCTCCCAGGGTGGGGGCCGCGGCGCCCTCCAACTCAAGAGTCGGGCCAGACCCGCCGCGTGGCTTCGCGCGGGTCACGGTGGTGGGGGGAGCCCCGGGCTGTGTTACGGTGGGGCCCCTGCGCGGGGGGGCCCCGCTGGCCCTCCTCCGCGTCCCCGTCCGGTTTGCGGCTGGGGCACTGGTGGGTCTCTCCCTGCAGATGTGCTGGGCGTGCTGGTGGCCGGGGGCTGTGCCGGGGTCCTGGCTTGGGCCGTGGCCACACCCATGGACGTGATCAAGTCGCGCCTGCAGGCGGACGGCCAGGGCCAGCGGCGCTACCGGGGCCTCCTGCACTGCGTGGTGAGCAGCGTTCGGGAGGAGGGGCCGCGGGTCCTCTTCAAGGGGCTGACGCTCAACTGCTGTCGTGCCTTCCCCGTCAACATGGTGGTCTTTGTCACCTACGAAGCCGTGCTGGGGCTCACCCGCGGCCTGTCCACCTAGCTAGTCCCCGCGCCCCAGGGCCGGCCCGCCGGCGGCTTGCAGACGTCTCGTAGCTGGAGGTGGCGGAGGAGAGTGTGGGGGTCTGGGCCCCGTTGAGCCACCACCCGGTGGCCGGAGTCAGCCGTGCCTGGGGCTTTGCTCACCCAGCTACGGACCACGAGGAGGTTCAGGGGCCCCTCTGCCATCAGCCTGGGGCTGGCTTGAGGGTCTCGTGAGCCAGGGAGGAGTGAGCCTCTTGGAGGAGGACATCTGTCACGCGCGGTCGTTTGAACGTTTGGTCAGTTGGTCGTTCCAGCTTCCCCGGGGCCTCTCCCTGCCGCACGTGTCTTCGGAGCACCCCTGCACCTCCGTCCACTCACCCAGTGTCCACTGGCCACCGTCCCCGCCAGGCCCCCGCTGAACTCTCCTCTGTTTGGTGAGCGCCTATGCACCCGCCCGCTTGCTCCCCTGCGCCGGGCTGCGCAGAGAGGGCACTGCCCGGACGGCCATGACCAGCTTGGTGCCAGACCCGCTCACACACCCTTGCTCTGCTGGGAGATCCCCGAGACTCCGCGGGGAGCCGTTGACAATAAAACGTTTTTGTTTGAATGTGCTCAGTGGTGCTGCTCCGCGGTCCGTGGGGCGGGTGACCGGCTCCTCCCCAGAGGCCAAGCCTCCACCCTTGTGTGGCCGTCGTTCCCACTATGCAGATGGGCACACTGAGGCCCAGCACGCTGGCTGGCTCCACTCCCGGCGCCTTTGGGGCACCGAGCCCTGCCACAGGGGGCCATTCAGCTTTCAGCCTGAGGCCTGACCGACCCCCCAACCCCAAACCTACCCCTTTCTGGCCCCTCCGCTGCCGGGACATCTGACTGTGAGCCACCTTTCCGTGGGGGCCTGGAGGAGGGAGGGGTGGGTGTGTCCTGGGTGCCAGGTACCTGCCACAGGTCACCACGCAGCCTGGCAGCAGGTGAGGAAACAGCTCCGAGAGGGAGGTGTGGGGGGACTCGCGCCTGCACTTTGGAAGCCCTCTTGTTGGCCCCATGTGGCTTCCAGTAGTGAGTGGCCCTCAGGGGTGGGGCTGGCAGGTGGAGCCCTCTGGTGAAGCCAGCCAACACCTGCCTCGATGACACTCACAGACACTGGCCTTGAGCGTGTGTCTGCCCCGAAAAGACCTCTCGTGTTCTCCTTCTGGGACACACGGGAGGCGGGTGGCGG